CCCCCCTTTCGTTTTGTCCCCACGGCGTATCCACATTTTGTCTCCACAGAACACTCTGATAGCAGGATGGGCCTATCCGAACGCCAAAAAGAAGTGCTGCACGCACGCACGTCTTTGTGGGTCCTCGCGACCCCTCATGTCAAGTCGTGTCAGTGAAATCACCGATTGGAAATAAAGAGGAGGGCATGACTTTTTTCGCAGCGCACTTCAGTTGTGCCAGATGTGCGTTGTGCCAGATGTGCGTTGTGCCAGATGTGCGTGGCAGTAGGCCTATATTTTCAGCCTAAAGGCACTATTTGCGGCCGGCCGAATGATGCGGCCAGTTTCCTTGAAACAAATCACAAGTTCACAACAAAAATGGTCTCGTTAGACAGCAGTGTTTGAGAGCGGCAGTGGTTTGAAGAACTTGGTCGATCAAAATATATCTCAAACTCAAAGTGAACAATTGAATGGTCACTTGTCCATGTTCATTACAAAGCTTTCTTATCATATTTTTATTCGATTATAGGTTCATGTGTTGAAGTAATGAATAAATAGTATGTGTAAATGTCTGAGTCTGAACATAAAAAACAACAAAGGGAACCCAGGAAGGGGGTGGCCGCATAGTTATTCCTTTATTTTTTTAAAAAGGGACGTCCGCCAAAGGTCCACTCCATTGGAAAAGGGGCATTGTTAATGTTATGATCAGTTGCCAGTGCCCATTTAACAGCAAATTAGCTCACATAAATGCATTCAGAAAGCCAGGTTTGTAACCTCTTGACTTCAATGCGATCGATCAGTCTAGACCGACTCCATCAGATTCGCTGCAGTCTGAAGAAATTGCCCTGTCACATGTACCTCTTGAATTTGGAAAAAAAATTGCTGAGACCTGGGAATGCCCCCGGAATTTGAGGAAACGTGTAAATTTGCCCGGGAATGACCACGGGAAAATACGTCACGTTCTCGAATATTTGAAAACGAAGTCCGATAAGGTCAGTAAATCTTGAGCGTATCCACTGCTCAGATCAGTAACAATATTGAACAAAATATTATTTTTGGGATTTTAGAGTATCTTTATAGATAGCCTATCTATATCAAGAATCCATCTTTAGAAGCCTAATTTCTTTATCAAACTTATAAATAGCTGGAAAATGCATTTGAGAAAGGTAGCAAAGTAGGAAAAATCTTAACAAAAAATTATCTCTCTTTTCAGCTTTCTCAGAATTGTTTATCTGACCAAGTTGCAATACTATTTTGACTAGGTCTGGGTCTCAGAAAGTTACTTTTAGAATTTATTCAAATTTGCGCTCAATCTTGAAAACACATACATCTATGACCGTACAGAAGCAGTTTTGCTGTTTTATGGTACCCATTTGGAGTTTTAGGCCTTTCTTTATTTACAAAATCTTAAAATAATGGACACCTGAATGTAGTGCATAAGAAGGACTGTAAAGCTCACAAGTTAGTTCAGAAAATTCAAATTTGGCTCTGTAAGGTCATATTTAACCAACCAACAGTAATCGCCGTTTAGACTTCTATCTTGATGAGTGTTGATGATTCGCATAAGATATAATTGGTTTTTAAAATGTTGAATCATTCCTCATGATTATTGTGGCTAAAATCTTGAATTTTTTGCTTGGTAACCTTGTTTTGCACTATGTCACACCTTTTGATGCAGAAAAGCAAGCATTAGACTGAAAACTATAGCCTTTGGGTGTTGACCATAGAGCTACACCCCCTTAAAGTAAGTTCATTTTTGCCGGTCATGATTGTGATGTTCGTTCGGCTTTTCTCTGTCTGATAATGCAACATTGTGACATGCAGGTTGCGAATTATAAACGCCGTGTCGCCATGAAAATAAATCAATGTTTGTGTCTGTGCTGTCATTGTGGGAAAAAAAGAAAAGAAAATCAAGCGTCGTCCGATTTTCAGCTTGTCGGGCTCGCCAATGTGACCGGTCAGCGAACCTGCACGTGTTCACATCACATGTCATCATGTGAGTACCGGCGGTTGTTGGGGTCACCAAAGTTCATTCAAAGTCTGAGCGTTGCGGAGTTTTGGACTTCGGAGTGGGGGGAGGATTATTGATTTTTTTTTTAGGACACTCAAGTCGGTTTTGAAGGTGTCGGTCAAAGTTGATGGCAGTATTTAGGCCCTATGCACTCATTGTTTTTTTAAGTTTGTCAAAGTTGTTGACAGAAATATTGTGTTCATTGTCGTCAATGCAGCAAGAACCGATCATCATTAAGCTTTTTATTTTCATTCTCACTAATCTGACCTGTTTCTCCCATAACTTTTTTGTTTGTTACTTATTTTACCGAGCACCAAGTTGGTAGTTTCCCCTCTTTCGACACAGGAAGGTAATATAAGAGACAGCCCATCTGGCCATAATACTCAGACAAAATTCGGGCCCAACAAGATTCGAACCCGAGATCTTCTGCATATGGAGTATAATGAAGCGAGTGCCTTACCACTAGGCTACAGTGACCCCTGTTGTAAATGTTGTAACGCCTTATTGTACACAGATGGTCATTCCGAAGGCAGATCACATGATCTCACAAGAGGACATCAGGAGAAGAAAAAGTTCAGCAAAAAGCCGAAGGTCAGAGTATCACACTGCAGGGATTCGAACCTTTTGGCCAAAGTCCGTCAACCACGAGGCCACCGAGCGGCATGGCTTCTTTAAGAAGAAAAACCCACGGTATACTACATTCATGCTGGGAGGCCCTGACCGCATACATATCCCCATGTGATCGCATCACAGTCCCCTGGCCGCCTAATGTGTCTTCAATGACTGAATAAAGGTTCCCTAATCGCAAACTGGTCCCTTCACATGGCATTTTGGAATGAATATCCCTCTTGGCAAACCATAATAAATCTAGTGGCCAGATGATGTGCAAATTTCCGGGCCAAAAATGTTTTAGTTATCATTATTTGTTTGGCTTTTAGAGCAAAGTAAGTGAGAAATGGCCGCAAATAGTACCGTTACTCTAGCCATTTTGATGTGACGAAGAACGTGTGCAAGTACTTGGGAGCCGAATGTCATAAAATTTGAAGTAAAACTGGGCAAAATAGCAAACAACTTGCTTTACTTTTTGACCCCCCCCCCCCCCTCGTAGCTTTGCTGTGTCCAGTGTTTGTTCACCTTTGCTTTATCATCAGTCACTGTCTACCTGTCAAATTATTGTCTAACATGTTTAGTTTTTCTAAGCTGAGCTTTGAGTATGGCTCGTTAGTCTTACTTTTCACCCCCCGGGGCGGTGCCACTGACTGAAGTGTCTTTAGGACATTTCTCGTTCTAGTGCACAGTAGAATTGTAAATGTGCTGATTTCACAATGTCATGCTCATAACTGTGCCTGAACTACAACAGGGAACTGGTGCTTTTTCTTTCCTAATCCTTACTATCGTCATTTTCCTCTACTTATTTTGTATGTTTGTCACACTCATGTGACTCGCTATTTCCGGGGCGCCTTGATAGTTAAAGCAGACTTTGTGCTGCTGAAGCTAGAGAGGTGAGCAGAGTTAGTCTGATTCCCTGTAAGGACTTCTCTGTTGACCCCTTGGCGCTCATATGACCTATGCAGTTGCGAGTGCCGTAAAACCTCTACAAAAACAAAAACTAAAAAGTCTTACTTTTTGACATTTTGTGATCAAGTGTTGCCACTGTGGTGTCGCTTCATCAGTTCTTTTCTTTTTTTTCTAAGGGAGTCTACAGGACATATACAGGCTTTTGCCGTCAAAGTTGCCCTTGCTCATTTAGCTTCTGGAAAACTAGTGGACAAGTTGCGATGTAAGTTATTGTTTTAATGCATGTCACTGTGCATTTTCCATTCTTACTTTCATGCATCATTTGTACTCTAAGTCATTAGTTAGTAAATATTTTAATACGTTATTAGGTCAAGCGAGTGGTTTTTTTTGGTGTGTTTTTTTGTTTGAGGGCCTATTTTCTCTAATTCAAACTTTGAGAGATTGCTGTTTTTGCTTCGACTTTTTCCAGACATCAGTGGTGTGATTTTACAGGTTTCTTTCATATTTTCTGTGTTTTTGATGGTGAGAAAAATAGTATGTGTCACGACGTGGTGGAATGAGGTGCTCGTCAATTTTTGGGCATATGGAGTTATTGGTATCTTAAAGCTTTATTCATTTGTCTTGCTTTTGATGTAAAAATTACTCATCCATCTACAATAGAAGTCCAGCTATTTGCGATGGAAGGAGATTGGGGTTTCCTGGTTTCAGAGGTAAAATTAGTGTTAAAGTGGCCGCCAAAGTTTGCTGACTTCCAAAGCTTTAGAGTCCTAGGATATTAATTTTACATTTTCTGTGCCTTAAATCAACATTTTTCAGTAACAGCATGTATTTTCTATTGGACATAAAAGTCACTGAGCCAAAAATATAAATTTAATGAAAATTGCCTAACGGGAAGAAAAAAGCTTATTTCTTGGATTTCACGATTTTGGTGAGCGCCTGATTTCACAACAATGCCTCACATCTGGTGGTTGAGAAGGTCCTACCTATTCTTCTGTTGTTTCTATTTGTTTGTCTTAACTTTCCCAAGCGCTATGTGATTCTTATGTTTATGTGTTTTTCTTTTTCTCAAGCAAATAAACAAATGGACAAGGTGTATCTATAGCCAGTGTTATTTCACTAGTGCCTTAGTCATTTTTAGGGTATTGTGAAAAGTGCTCAAAATGAGAAACATGACTTAAGCGCTTGTTAGTTTTCATTTTAAAACAAGGAAGAAAATAGTGAAATAGAAAAAGAACTATCTTTTAGTGAAGAGAAGCACATCGACATGATGATGATCATTAAGTGCTGGAAAAACGTAAGACAAACAGACTAAAACAACAGACGTAAAGTAAAGAAGTAGGACCTACCAGTGGCATCCTTCAACCACCCACTAACTATATTGTGAGATGCACCTTGATTTCTTATTTCAGTAACTGCTTTATCTGAAAACCCCCAGAAATTGACAAGGGGGATTGTGGAATGACGCTGTTGATCTATGTCTGTCTTGCAGCCCATGAATTATTGAAAAAAATCAAAGTGTTTTGCATGTTTGAAGTTTTTCTTTACTAATTTATTATTAGGAGAATGACCGTTTAACTTGGTAAAGGTTTGTGACATGCAAAAGTTGAGACTCCACAGAAACCACTATTTTGTGTGATTCCTTCCATGCCTTTGGAAAGACATGATACAGGGGGATAAATCTTATCATATGGTGGTCCAGGTGGTGAAGAGGTTAAGTTTGTCAGTCTCAGTACATGCTGACATAGTGCTTTATGAATCTTGTTTTCTTCTCACAGATATCTTCACCCTCATATCTGACCCCTCTGGGCACATGGTGCGGGCTCGGTTTGATGAGTATCTGCGTGATTTGCTGATGCTTCCAGCAGCTGTCTACGAGGGCACATCATTCCGATACTCTGAGGAAGCTTCCAGAACCTTTTTTGACGCAGTCAGTCTCTGTAGTTCTTTTTTTGTGTGTTCCCCTTAACTCCCCAAATGTAGTCTGTGAGTGGGTGGAATATGCCATTTGGACGACCTTCTTTTTTCCCCCTTTGTTAAACAATAGTCTATACGTCTTACTTTTTTCTGTACATTAAATGACTTTTAGTTTGATTTTCTCTTTTCTATAATTTTTGGGCATGTGGAGTTATTGGTATCATATGAAAGTTGATTTATTTGCCTTTGCTACTGATGAAATAAATATCTATAAACCTTGAATAGAACTCAAGATACATGCATTTGAAAGAAGTGAGGGCGACTGGTTTCAGTGGTGAAATTAGCAAGAAAATGGCTGCCAAAGTGTGGTAACTCCTATAGCTAAACAGTACTTGAAAATGAAACATTACATGTTTTATGACTATAATCAATGTTTTTTCAGAAAAATTCTCATGGAAATGTGATTTTATATTGACGTAAAAGGAGTTAAGGCCAAAAAAAAAATTCGATAAAAATTTCCAAACTTGCGGAAAAATGCCTGTTTCTCCTTTTCGTTATTTTGACAAGCACATGATTTCACCACGCTGCCTCACATATAGAGTCGCCACTGGCTCATAACATGTGCGAAAGGTGTGTGCTGCTGTGTGCGCGCAGTTTTTACCCCTATGTGGGCAGTGTTTTCTAAAGTAGCCTACAGTCGAACCTGTCGATAAATTTCCGACTTACACATATTCGGTCCTGGACAGGGGAATTTACGGGAGGGGGCTGCCTGTCAGGTGGGCAAGAAGTAGTCAAAACATCACACTTTCCAAGTGCTTTCCTCTGATAATGATATGCATCAGTCTTACTTATCCTCTTATCCTTTGCTACCAGTGCTTGTATCTTATAGGACCACTGTTTGGCCAATTAAAAACAATTGATTCAACGTCTCCTTTGTTACCACAACTACACCCACCCGTAGGTGTAAAAAGCGCATTCAACCAATGCTACTCTTCCCAGGCACGTAACAGCAATTCGACAAATTTTATCATTCTCTGCTTGCTGTATGATGAGGGCTGCAGGCAGTGGTCAAATTTATTTCACCTCTTGCTACTCAGGAAAGTTTTGGTGTTGGAGTGCCATTCGAGCACTTTTACCAGCACTTGTGAGACCATCTACATCACTTATGACTCACAATAATGGTGTAACATCCATCCCGTAGCTGCAGCCCTATCCCCTTCCTTAAGGTTGGAGCTGATGGAACGAAACTTGGGAGTTTTGTTTCAAATCAGGGTTGAGCAGGCAAAGCATTGTCCATCCTAGACAGGTAAAAATCCTCAGATGAGAAGAAATTTCTTTTACGGTTTTTGGATTAACCCCTTTACTGCTAACCCTATCTGCACCCCCAGTGGGTCGGGGGATAGAAATAGACCCACTGCTTCGTTTGCAGAAGGTGCAACCCTTTCAAAGACGAGGTGTCTCACATGGACACCAACCCTCTGGGATCCGGATGCGACACCTACTTTGGTGTATCTTCCTCTTCTCCTTCCTTCTTTCTTTCTTCTTCTATCTTTCCTCCCACCGCTGACCTCATGTGCAACAAAAAGAGAGGTCACCCATCCCACAGAGTGGGCACCTTGTTGACCGTGAGGTGCGACTTGTGCGGAGGGAAACCGGGTACCCGGCGGTTGAGGTGAGATCAGTCTATGGACTGTCCCTCACCAACACACCTTTTTGGCCCAGGTTTTCCTCTTAGATGGGAGGGTGGCACGGCCCATGCTACTCTATTGGTTGGGAGTTGAAGCCCCTTCAAGCCCTGGGTCAATCTTGGCGGGAGGGTTTTATGCATTCTCGTGGAGAGTATAGCTCCGGGGTAGCCCTGGCACAGCTCTGGTCATCCGAGCAATGTGTCTCCTTGTTGAGCTCGATGGCGGGCGGGGAGCCCCGGAGTCGAATCACCTAAAAAAACTCTCATGGATTGCTCATCAACTAAAAACTCTTCCCCAACTCCCAACGTTGCCAAAAAGTCTTGGTTCGCGGAAGCGGGTGTGACCGCTGAGCCGAGCAAACAAACGCCAAAAGGAAAAAGGGCCTTTACGACTGCCTCTGCCCTCCCCCCTCTCAGGGAGCTTTCGCGGCAGCCGTACTTGACCATCCGCAGCACCGATGCGCAGAAAAAGGTCACTGATCTAAACATTTTCAAGACAGGAGATGCTCTAAGACAGGTTCTGGGATACATTCCTAAGAATGTCCAGAAACTGTCCTCTGGTGCTCTCATCAAGTGCGCATCGGATAAAGAACTGGCCGGACTTGAAAAGATTACGACCTTCGGTGGTGTTTCTTCTGTTTCCGAGCGACACCAGAAGTTTAACCAGTCGAAGGGCGTGGTCCGCAGCCATGAGCTGAAGGGCTGCTCAAACCAAGAAATTGTGGATAACTGAGGGTGTAGTCGAAGCCCGTCGAATTACTATTCGGCGGGGGGAGTCCACAATAGAAACGAACACAATAATTCTAACTTTTGATTCATGCCGCCCTCCAGCCACCATTCGGGCATCATACTTTGTCTTGGACGTTAGACCCTATGTGCCAAACCCTCTACGCTGCTTTCAGTGTCAGAAGTTTGGCCATAGTCAGTCGCGATGCCGACTTGCAGCCATGTGTCCTCACTGCGGCAAGACTGGGCATCCTGAAAAGTCCGTGCTGCCCAAATTGCCAAGGCCGGCACACAGCCTTCAGCAAGGATTGCCCGACTTGGATCCAAGAACGCGCAATCCAAGAGTATAAAGCACGAAATGGCTGCTCTTTTCAAGAAGCCCGTAAAGCTGTCTGCCCACCAGGTATGACCCCGGTCCCTGGCCGGTCATATGCAAGCGTATTCCGGCCAGTCACGAAGTCGGCCAGTGCTTCCACTGTTGACCCCCCAGAACCCACGGTCAACAAGCGACTTACTGCACTGAAACACAAAAAGGTTCCTACTAAAACTGTGGTACCCACCTTTCAGGTATCACTGACTTACCGCTTTGGGGTTCTTGGGGAGGATGGGGTGGACTCTTTCTCCGCCCCCCCCCTTCTCCCCCTCACCCCTCCTCTATTACTTCTTCTTGTTCTTGTTCTTGTTCTTGTTCTTGTTCTTGTTCTTGTTCTTGTTCTTCTTCTTCTTCTTCTTCTTCTTCTTCTTCTTCTTCTTCTTCTTCTTCTTTTTCTTCTTTGTCTTCTTCTTCGTCCTCGTCCTCCTCGTCCTCGTCCTCCTCGTCCTCGTCCTCCTCGTCCTCCTCCTCCTTCTTCTTCCTTCTTCTCCTCCTCCTCGTCCTCCTCCTCGTCCTCCTCCTCCTCCTCCTCCTCGTCCTCGTCCTCGTCCTCGTCCTCCTCCTCCTCCTCCTCCCCCCCTCCTCCTCCTCACAACCCAAGCGGAATCCGCTTCCATTGCAGAATTGCAACACTTACAGGCCACACTGTGCCCACGTGTGGCCTGTATACAAGAAACACAATTCGCCCCGGCTTCAACCATAGACTTAAGAGAATTTACTGCGTATCATCACATTCACACGAAGAACCAGATTGCTTCCGGTGGTACCACCATCTACACCGACAACAACACACTTCAGAGACAAATAATACGTCTTAGGACGTCCCTCCAGGCTATTGCCGTACGGGTCACCCTGCACTTACCAATCACGATCTGCTCAGTTTATATCCCACCAAATTACCCCCTCAAAATAACCCAACTAAATTACTTAAAGGCTCAGCTTCCAGAACCCTTTATTTTGCTAGGCTATTTTAATGTCCACAACGCCGTTGGGGGAGACAAACCTACAGACCAGAAAGGAAAAATAGTAGAAGATTTTTTATTTCAAAATAACATCTGTCTCTTACGGGTTTGCCAATCAATGTTCCCAGATTCTGAACCCCTCTTTCGACCTCAACTACAATAAATTCCACGAAAAGCTTTTTCAAATATGCCACAAACACATACCAAAAACAAAAACAAAACCCCGAAAGAACAAGATCTGGTTCTCTGGGGAATGTGAGGATGCAGTAAAGAAAAAGAAGGCAGCGTATTGAAAGGCCGTCAACAACTCCACCACAGAAAACAAGATTAATTATTTAAAGGCTCGAGCTGTGGCACGTAGATGCCTCAGGGAGAGCAAAAGACAATCATTTAAAAAATACATCTCCAAAATCAACAGCCAGACACCACTAAACCAAGTTTTCAAAATCACTAAAAAAATTCTTGGGAAGACGCACAGACACCATTCGGCACGTCCAGAGGCCGGATGGAACAACAGCTGAAACACAAGTAGACATCGCAAACACAATAGCTACATCTCTCGCCAAAAACACATCCCAAGCAAACTACAACACCACTTTTAAAAACATCAAAACTAAAAGAAAACAACAACACCTAAACTTCCACTCAAACAACACTGAAACCTACAACGCAGACTTCGCAATAGACGAACTAACATCGTGCATCTCGGACCTGGGCAATACAGCCTCAGGACTGGATGACATCCACAACCAGATCATTAGACACTTACCCTCAGAAACACTTACACTCCTACTAGACATATACAACGACATGTGGCGGTCGCACTCCTTTCCGGAGTCTTGGCGTCTCGCCACTGTCATTCCAATACCCAAACCAAACAAAGACCACACACACCCATCCAATTACAGACCAATAGCACTAACGAGCTGTCTGTGCAAACTTATTGAAAAAATGATTCATAGGCGACTCATGTGGTTTCTGGAGACGACGGGTTCGCTGAGCGGTCTCCAGTACGGATTCAGGAAAACTCGATCCACTCTGGATCACCTGGTCCGCATGGAGACCTTTATACGCGAGACGTTCGCTGAAGGAGGCTACATGATCGCCATCTTTTTCGACCTAGAAAAAGCCTTCGACACAACCTGGAAGTACGGCATTCTCCGAGCCTGCCCGCACTCGGCATACACAGTCACCTCCCTGCTTCATTGGCAACTTCCTGAAGAACCCTTCCTTTCAGGTTCGTTTCGGATCCTCCCTTTCAGACC